CTAGAGACCTGGGAAACCGCACCTGTGCTCAATCACCCTATTTTCGTGTCTTTCCTGCTCTCAATACAACCTCGTCTCTTAACACAGAGTTTAACCCTACAGCACAGCTTCCGTGATTTTAATAAAAAATAATCCTCAGTTTGTCTTGATGCCGATTTGTCTTTGTTGCCGGCAGTGATAGTCCACCCCTGGCCCTGGGTTTACTTAGGTTTTATAGGTCATTTAATGACCTATAATACACCAGGCAGGAGAAGGAGAGGCCGGGAACGAGCCCTCCCCGCAGGTAAGATTGTGCAACCTCGCTTGTCGGGCAGCGGAGTTGGCCCATTACGATCTTACATCGCCACCTAGTGGTGCAATCGTGATACTGCACACTTACCCGCGGAAGCTGATTTCCGCCAAGGAGACAAAAATTCAAATTCAAAAAACAATAACTAAAAAAAAATAGCTGGCTCAGGCTTACGGCGCGGAAATCTCGGAATAAAAAAATGACGAGCGTCGCATTTCAGTTTATTTTTTTTTTAAAGTAGTAGTTAAAGCGCGTCCAAACGAAAAGGTTTTAGCGGATATCACGGCAGTTGCCAAACGCCGCCACCAGGGGACGCGCCAGGCCCTGTGATCACACACCCCACAACAGCAAACGCCAAATTCACAACGTTGAGTTCCTGTGGACCCTGTATCGTTTAAAATGATGTTCCCTCCACCTGCCTAGTGAACTTGTCCTGTGTCCCCTCTCTCGTTCTGCAGCACATCTACAGTTAGGCTATGGCCTGCTGTTACTTGAGACCTGAGCCACAGAGGATGCTTTGGTGTTAGTGTGCCCTCCTTGTTTATGCTTGGTGGTGTACCTTAGCAGGGAAGTAAAGGGGGTGACATGTAATGGGACATGGGACACAATTAAAGGGGTCGGATTGATCCTGGTAGTACAGCAGGGCGGTGAAGGGCTCAGTTATGTATCCGAGAGCTCAGCTGGGATGAACTGTCTCTAGCCAGTGGTTCCCAGGACTCGGTTTGGGAAAGTCGGAATGTGGAAAAGCTCTTTGAACGAATTTCTCCTCCTGCCGAGCAGGAAGCGCCCCAGATCCGTACTAAAATCGGAACGCTAGACAGCGTCTGCGGGTGGAGGTGCCAGGGGGTCCCCGATATCCGAGACATCCTCCTTTCCTTCTCGGATACCACCCCCTACCCCCACGCGCAGTTCTGTGGTTAATTATCGGACTGGTGTTGTGGGATTCAACTCCAGACGCTGGCCGTGAGATTGGCTTATTAAAGCCCAGGTAATACCGAAGGGGGGGCGTGCCCCTCACAGGGGACCCACGAGGCACAGAGGTCAGAGCACGCCGGGGACCCCCGGACAGACACCGGCAATGATCCTGGTGAGTGAGGGAGATTCCAGGCCTGATGCTCGCTTGACTTCTTTTGGAATGCTGGTTGTGGAAGGTGGATGGAGTGGACAGGGTACAGGGGGCGGGCTGGAGTGGACAGGGTACAGGGGACTGGAGTGGACAGGGTACAG